AAAGGGGTGGGGCTACTGTCACGTTTTAATTGTGTTTTTGGTCTAGTCTCATCTCTTTCACTGTATACAACAGCAGTTATTTACCTGCTAATTTGCCATTATGCATTTTATGTATTCAAGTTTTTAAAAACCCAAAAGACCTCAAGAACATTGTACCATATGTGATTTTCAGATTTTACCAAAAAGGAAAAAAATACAAAATGAAATATACACTCAGTTTGTGGGTCTGGGAGGTAATTCTGCTTTCTCTTTTGGAACCCTAAAGAGTGATGAGCAAATGCATATTTGGTTTTATTTAAGCATTATCCTAAGCCCCACTGAAGTGTATGTTCTAGGGAAAACTCAGCTTTTTCATCTGCTGAGATGTTCTCTCTCTAGAATGATTTCAGACAGGCAAGCTGGTGTAGTAGAATAAGGCAGACTTTGGCATTGGACAAATTGGGTTTTGTTTGGATCCTGGCTCTGCCACTTGCCAAGGTTGTGTTCTTAGGCAAGTTGTTGAATTTTAACCCAGAGCCCTCTTAATCTAAACCATAGATTTGTTTACAGCCATGCTACCCTGAACAAGCCTGATCCCGTCTGATGTCAGAAGCTAAGCAGAGTTGGGCCTGGTTAGTACTTAGATGGGAGACCACCTAGGAAGACCAGGTGGTGTAGGTGTAAAAGATAAAAAAAATAAGGGATTGTAAGCTGACAAGGTCCTTGCAATCTGTGAGGTCAACCAAGGGTGGCTCGCCTGAAAAATAAAAATGAAAAAAAAATGTAAACCATAGATTCTCAGGTGTGACATTCCTATACCTATAAAAGGAAGATTAAGACTTTTGCTTCCATCTGTGCACCTCTTGTAACCTTATCTCCTATTCTCACCCCCTTCTAGGGACCTAGCTGGAAGGGAGAGAGCTAAGGTGAATCTTGTAGAGGTGTCTTGTCTATGGAAACAAAGGATTGCTCTATAATTTTTCCCCATAAATCTTTCCCAATTTGACCTAGAGCCATTGAAGTCCTAATTACTTCCCTAGGTCCCGGGAGTCCATTATGCTATTTGATTGTTATTTTGTACCCTCAGTGACAAATCTTCTTGCTACTTTTATTTGCAAAATAGGTGGGACATATCATGCAAGGAAGGGTCCTTACTTCACTCACCAGGGTATAGCTTGAAATACCTTCATCTTCCATTGTCCTGTGCTGCCTAGATCAGGGCAGTATCTCTGGGAGATTAAAGGGGAAACTCCTTTGGTCCTTGGTTGGGTTACACAAATCTTCCCTGCATGAGGAGCAGCTGATGTCGGCAAGGGACCTTGTTTGGTTTTCCTTGAACTATTAACAGGGAGATAAGGAGGTTAACTAAATGTTCATCAGGCCAGAGTCCCTTCAGAGTGATCAGATCCTGTTATGTCCTTCCTTTGGATGTTGTCTCTCTGATTGGAATGCAGATAGAAGGGAAGAGAGAGAGAGTAGGGCCCCCCATACTGAAATGCAGTGTAGCAAGTCTTGGCTATGGGTTAGATTCCAGGGAGAGACTCTGTTAGCATATTTGCATGAAAATAGTAAGATTAAAGGAAGATGGTAGCTGTGAGATGAAAGGAGTGTTCAGACTGGATAACAGCAGAGTAAGTACTGCTGTAGGCTCACTACTGCAGCACCTCAGTGATCCCACAGGCCTATGCACTGCGCCTTTTTACATTGTACCAGGCTCTCTGCTTCGTGCTTTGCCTGTAAGAACTCATGGAATACTCACCGCAGCTCTGTGAAGTAGATTGTATTTTTATCAGCATTTTATAGATGAGGAAACTGAGGGTTAGAGGTTCAGTGACTTGGCTCAAAGTCACTGCTTAGTGATTTGTAGGGACCAGATATGAATCCTGGTTGGTCTGACCCTAAAGCCCCTGAAGCTACATGGCTTTTTGCCACCTAGAGCCTGTGGTTCTCAACGGTTGTTTAATTCTTTGGGGTCACAGATAACCCTGAGAATATGATGAAAGCAGGAGCCGTGGCCTTTCTGTCCAAGGGAATTCACACATCTTGTTCCTCAGGTTAAGAGCTCCTGTTTCAGGGCACATTTATCTTGATTCTTATAAGCAGCATCTGGCTGACTGCCACAATCCAAACTATGCCTTTGACACCTAGGACCAGCCAAATACGCCCAATCATGCTGTCTGTCAGAAGCTCCTCCATAATGAAGGGAAAGGAGAGTGAGGAGATGCACTATCGAATGGGGCTCATTGTTTTGATGAGTGACACAACAACAACAACACCTGTAAGCCTCACAGGTGACATCTGACCGGAAGTTAACATGTTAATTAGGTGCCTTTGAGGAGCTTGTGAGCTGGCGGAGGAAGTGAAACTGATATAAGTTTGGCCAACTGAGGACAGTACAGTGGAGATTGAGAAGGGCTTGAGAATAAAGGGGCCACGGGTATAAAGAAAGGAGCATGTGGACTGGGACCAGGGAAATGTGGGTTCCACTCCTGGTCCTGCCTGCTAATTCCCTGAGTGTTCTCCATCAGCCGTTTTATCTTGCCATAGTTTCCTCCCTTGAGTGTGATTAGGTCATCCCCAGGGCCCCTCTGTGTCTCTGAAAGGCAAGGAGGGTGGTGGAAGATGAACAACTGATGATCACGTACGAGCTGCACACCCGGCACTTCCTGTACGTGGTCTAATGTCCCCCATGTCGATTTCATTCTGTAGATGACGTTGAGTAGATTAAAAATTGCTATCTGATGCCAAGTTTCCAACTCAGGGTTGGCTGAGTCAGAGGTGGCAGGTCAGTGGGATGTGGGGGATGGGACAGACGGATTTGGGATAGAGACTGTATGGGTGGAAGCAATGGAGATAAAGATCAAGTCTTAAAATCCCTTCAAAGAATTAATGTTTCTCCTGTGTTTTTCTTCTCTTGGATGTCAACAGGCCACTTTCCAAACAAAGCCATGCCCTCTGCAGGAACACTTCCCTGGGTTCAGGGGATTATCTGTAATGCCAATAACCCATGTTTCCGTTATCCGACTCCTGGTGAGGCTCCCGGGGTTGTTGGAAACTTTAACAAATCCATGTAAGTACCAGATCAGGTTTTCTTTCCCAAACTTGTCAGTTAATACTTTTCCTTCTCTTATCTCCCTCTGGAGAATTTTGAATGGTTGTATTTGAATAAAGTTGCTTTTGTGTGATAAAGTTTTGTGTGATAAAGTTTGCAGAATGAGGGCAGGGAGAATTGCTGCCAGAATTTAAGATCTTCCTTTAGTGTATTTTAGGAGTAACAAGATTTAGCTAAGAGTCACGTGGCTGGGGGCTGTTCCTCCAAAAACTGGCTGTAAGTTGAAAAGGGAGACACAGCACATCTGCTTCACCTGGCCACTTGTTTAGTAGACATTCACTGTGCATCTGAACCAGCTGGCCTGGGGCCGGGGGGAGGGGTAGGTAGAAAGATGTGCACAGGAAGTTGTCTGCCCTCACGGAGCTCACCACCAAGGCTGGGAGAGTTCACAGATCACCTCTCTTCCTCTGTCGGTGTTTATCTTACTGCAGCATTTCACTCTCTGGTCTTTCTCGTCCCTGGATACGAGCTCCCTGAGGGCCAGGATGCCCCTTCCTCAGCTTTTTGTATTCCTGGCTCCCGATTTCAGCACCAGACCTAAGTGTGGGCTTAATAAGTGTTTGCTGAATTAGCCATTGAAGATTCTTGGAATGCACAGAACCAAGCATGTGTTAGCATGGACTAAGGATTGTAGGAGATGTAGGAAGATGTAGGAAGAATATTATGGGGTGGTTCTGCTGGAAGTTACTTCTGAGGAAGTAACAGCTGGGCCAGCAGAACCACCCCATAATATTCATGGAACTTAGGATTCGTAGCTTTTGTGGGTCCTTTCTTCCATGCAAAAATATTAAAATTTTTATTTTCTAAGTGTGTTGATCTAAAGGTGAATGTAATCCAGGCTGGATTCATCATTATTCATACTCATGTTGAATTTTTGAATTTTGTTTTTTAAAAGAGTATCCTGAGCCCTAGGCACTGTGCCTTACTGTGTCTCATGGATAAGTAGGCCCTAGGCGAGTAAGAGAGAGAGAGAGAGAGAGAGAGAGAGAGAGAGAGAGAGAGAGAGTGTGTGTGTGTGTGTGTGTGTGTGTGTGTGTGTGTTTATTTATGAAGGAGGGCTTCCTGGAGAAGGAGGCACATGTAAGATTTGGTTGTGTGTACACATGGAGAAGAACATTCCGGGAAAGGATGGTGAGTAGGTGGTTGGGAATCTGGGGTGTCATCGAAGCTGAGTGTGGGCAGCTGTAGGAGTGTAGAACCGACAGCCAGACCGGGGCATGTGTACTAGGCGGGTGCTTTCTTCAAGTGGGAAAGGCAGCTGCCCTAACCAGAGCTTTCCTGCTTTTCTCGCATCCCCTGCAGTGTGTCTCGCCTGTTCTCAGATGCTCAGCGGCTTCTTTTATATAGCCAGAAAGACACCACCATGAAGAACATGCACAAAGTTCTGAGAACATTACAGAAGATCGAGCGTCACAGCTCAAGTAAGTAAAAGTCTTCTGTGTGTTGGTTTGTAATTGGAAATTGACCTGTACCAGAGAGAGACAGCAACCCAGGTGGACTGGTGCTTATCCCTTTTAGCTCTTCTCTACTGGGTTTTCCTCCTCAGTGGCTGGTCTTTAAGGCCTCTCTGCAGGAGGTATTTGAGGAGAAACTGAGAAGACAATGAGTGTGCTGGCTTCCTGGGGTAGACAAGAAAAACCCCCAGACAGGAATGACACAGGCCCGGTTTTTGGACAGTTAGGGGTGCAGGTTGCTTCCAACTTCATTTCTTTGGAGTTGGCCATAAAGTTGCAGTGAATGGGCAGATTTATAGAAAGGGGATACTTCTATGCATATAAGAGTAATTAAAATTGCAACTTGATATAGATAAGTGAAAGTAAGCATTTACTTCTAAAAGGAAAACGTAATTCATTTTCCCCCTAGTCATTTGATTTAGTCTGATGGACATTTGAACTCTGATCTTTAAAAAGCAAAATCTTTATCCCTCATTTGGTAAATGTCCAGGCAGTTTACTGCGTGCTATTAAGGAAGTGTTTGAGGAACAGGCAGTTTGCTGACAGAGGCATTGGCTACAGAAGTCATGAGGCAGCCTCCCAGGCAGTGGCCTACAAAGCAGTGAGGGGGTGTGGGAGCACTCCCCGGGGTACAGGCAGTGGTGCAGGCATAGTCTGTAGAGGATTTAAAAGCAATAATGAAGCCTATTAAAAGGTGGTCTGCTTTTTATCATCACCATGCACTGGTGGTTCTAAACAATGTCAGTGATAAATTATTCCCCGCCATGGGCCAACTGCTGTCACTATTCCAGGAATGTACTTTCTACTCAGTTTGGTGTTTTGGGAGGGGTGGGATGGGCTGGCCTCCCAGATTGTGATCCACTTGACAAAAGTGTTAGAGTTTAAATCAGACTTGGAGTGGAGCTTTTTCTTGGGGACAGGAAAAGAGGCAATGGGCAGTGTGGGAACTGATGACAGAGGGAAGCTAAGCTCTGTGTGGGTTGGCACAGAGGAGCTGTCACTTCACATAAAAGAAAGGTATGATTGTGCTTCATTCAGCTCCTAGGTCAGTTTTTAGGGACCCCCAGCTGGACCACTCCTGGCTGCATGACCAGGCCGTCTGGATGCTGTTTCCTTGCCCTGTAGGCCTCTGGTCCTGCACATGTATGTCTGTCCCAGCACAGGACACAGAGAGGTAGCAAACACCAACCAAAGCATCAGTCCTTCCTGATTTACCAGAGGGCCCCTGCCTGGTAGACCAGAGGCAGAGCTTGGGTTATTTTTTCTAGTACAGAGACAGCGTGGCCCAGAGGAAATAGGAAAGAGT